TAATTACTGGAGTTATTACCCTTGGTTTCATTAATGCGATGCATGCGTTCCATGATGTTGTATTGCACTCATTGATCTACCAGTTATGTTGAATGATTTCTCTTTTAATATCAATTACTCACAAATACTTCATATATTTCAATCATACAAACAACTGCTCATTCAATGTGTGACGGGCGTATTATATACCGCTCGCGGTAACCTTGTTGATATAGTGCTTATTACAAGGCGCTCTATTCTTAATAGCCATTATGGCTATCTGTCTCGCACTCTACATTAATGTTTGGAATAGATAGGATATACTCTGTTCAAACACGGACTTAGATAACATCATTGCCGTCACGTACCAGTCACTCAACCTGGTTCAGGAAGGTTATTTAGTAATAAATCCTCAAAACCTCTTCCAGATTACAAGGTTGTTGAGAGGAAGGTGGTATATTACGTACTAACATTATTTGTCGGTGTATATCTTAAACTCTTTATTTCTATGGAACAATTCTTGTAGATAAACCAAACTGTACTTAAAGATTTAGAGTGCCAAAACTAATATGGCAAAATATATACTTTCTTCCAGAATATGATTGCTATGCATGTATGTTTCAAAATTAATATGATTATATTTTTGTAATATATTATGCAATGTTTGTCGTATACACATTTTATTATTAAGGCTTGTTTATTTAATGCAGACACTGACTAAGGTGCAAAGTACTGTATGTGAAGCCTAGCTGACTGATGCTTTGTATATGAGGTGGTGTTGGTAGGTAGTAAACACCTGTACCATGTTCTGCTGGGTCCTGTAATGTGGGTAAAAGCCGTTAATGATTTCTACATATCCTGGATAGCGTAGGTCTAAGCGATGTTTGGATCCATAAAAAAACCTGTCTGCCCGATATTGCTTATTTAAAAGCTGCAATTATACATAAATTACACGATCAGTTTATTCAATCCTGGTTTAATAAAATTGACACCTCACCGTGAAGACGATTGTACTCTACATTTAAATATCGCTTTGGTTTAGAAGACTATTTGATAAGACTAAACGCAAAAGATAGGAAAATTATCTGCAAATTTTGAACTTCAAATATTAAGCTTCCAGTAGAAACAGGAAGATGGGTGGGAATTCAGAGACAGGACAGAATATGCCCACTTTGTAATACTGGTATTGGGGACGAGTTTCATTACTTATATACTTGTTATATACAAGTCCAAACCAACATAAAATGAAAGGAATGTTCACAATTTTAATATGAAATTGTTAAAAAGTGTAAGTTTATTTGTTCAAAAATTAACAAAAGTACTTTAGTGTCTCTATTTTTTCTTTTGTTTGCTAGTGACGTTTTATATAAGTTGAACACTGAATTATTTGTATGTAACTACACGTATATTTGCCTGTCATGCACTCAAACTATGTTATATATACATGACCTCTTGTTACACATATTATGTGTGTCTGAGTGAAATAAAAAACTTGAAATCTTGAATACATGCTTAAACCTATTTCTTTTGTAATAAAACCCTCGGAGAAATGTAACACCCGCATGCACATTGTTGTCGCTATTGTCGCTTTCTGTTGATAAAAAGGTCGTTTTAAACACTCCGCAGTTATTCTGACGGGAACTTTAATCTGTCAAGGCCAGAGGGGCGACCGATCACGCATTACATCCGTGACTAGTAAGGGCGATATACTCATGTACAGCACACATATCCTGAGACATCAATAATTCCTCGCTTCGCTGGCCTTCTCACTCATCCATGTACAGTGCTTTAAACACCCCTACACTGATATACAGCAATGTGAAGCGAATAAGTCTGCACACCGAAGCTTTCGAAATGGCGGGGTCTGTAGGACGCGTTCTCTGTTGTCTGAAGAAGGTGAGTTTGCCGTGTGACCGTTCCATTTATTGCCACTGTGGGCTATTTTTGTGGTTGGGTATTCGTAGATAGGCCTATGATGCAGACGCTATACACACATGGGTCACGCTAAACGTTAGCTGACTGTGCGCGTGTAACCTGCAACCGTTTCCGGGATATAGTAAGACACTGTGAACCTGTGCATCTATTTGAGTACTTGATGCTAGCGACCCTACCGACAAATCACTTGTCTTATTCAGATTAAACTCTTCCATTAGTAACATGTTTAACCTAATTAGTTGTAACATCTCAACCACAGTAAGTATCATATGGCCCCTTGCTCCACTAAACCGTACCATATGGCCCCTTGCTCCACACCATATGACCCCTTGCTCCACTTAACCGTACCATATGGCCCCTTGCTCCACTAAACCGTACCATATGGCCCCTTGCTCCACTAACCCGTACCACCGTACCATATGGCCCCTTGCTCCGCTAGACCGTACCATATGGCCCTTTGCTCCCCTAAACCGTACCATATGTCCCCTTGCTCCACTAAACCGTGCCATATGCCCCCTTGCTCCACTAAACCGTCCCATATGGCCCTTTGCTTCACTAGACCGTACCATATGGCCCCTTGCTCCTCTAAACCGTACCATATGGCCCTTTGCTCCACTAAACCGTACCATATGTCCCTTTGCTCCACTAAACCGTACCATGGCCCTTTACTTCACTTTGAAAGAACCACTCCATGACTCTTTACTCCACAGATGATGTAACAATTGTTTCCCCGATTCATTGCTCCCTAATGTAAACTTCTGGGCATTGTCCATTTGGTCTGCTCTTGATGGTATAGTTTTATTGTGATATATCGGATTGTCATGGTACAGTATGGTTGACTTAGTCGGTTTAGATTGGCCTCTATGATTGGGTCTACTCGATCTTGGCGTAGACTTTCCAGGTACACCCGTCCTTGCTTGTATGGTGTCAGTGGTAGATATTCTAGACAGATGAAATTGTATTGCCCTGTACTCTGGTATTTGTGGTGTCATTAAAGGTACGATATCTCATAATTGACCAGGGAACCGATAATTTGACGTTGGGTATATAAATGACTGCCAACAGATATGAGCATTTATGCCTCACGACAGTAGTACGTCGCCATGGCAACGACAAATAATTTCATTTAATATACAGTGTCGATGTGGTAAGAATGCTGACGATATTTTCATTTAAAGACCGATATCGATCGTTAAGCGAACCCAGGCATTTAAACTGGGACTATACGAGTCTTTATACCAAAGCAAGTGTATCTATAAGTGTAGTATTGGGATTTTGTATAAAGAAAGAAAATAAGAGAACTGAAAATAAAATAAAACTGTCGCTTGAGCTCAAAATTGTTAAAACTAGGTGGAAATATAAACAAATGGCAAATTTACATTTGAACCCCCAAAATGAGCACAATATAAACATCGACCTTCGTGTCACTTCAAAAATAAAATAACCTCCCCATCAAATCATGATGAACATCATCCATTGTCTCCATCACGTAAAGGCTTGAATTTCCTGTTTCCTTGGAAACTGGATGTGAGGTATCCATTGACGCAATCCTGTGAATAGATAAAGATGACCTTAAAATGAAAATATCGGGGGTTCTAATATTATGTCTCTGAATTAACTTACATCAAAGGCGGGCGAAAAAGGCAAAAACTAAACTACAGCGAAACTTTCCTGTATTATCGCCTGACGGAGAGTAGGGAGGATGTTTACAACTGAGGGGTATGGTACTGACTTATGTCCTGCCTCACCAGCGAGGCGTTTTCAGCGAGACATTACTATGAGGATTGAGTATTATTTTCACCGCCGAGCATTTATATATATATATATATATATTTAATTTGCGGTTCAAGTTCTTTATTAATTTTTAGTCTTGCGACTTATCAGTGTAAACATATATTAAACAGGATATTTACATATGTACAAAAAGCCACATTGGTCACAGGAGAATGAACAATACACACAAAGGTACTACTAAATATACTACCGAGCGGAGGAAGAACGTTTTGTGGTACTTAAGTTTTTTTGCCCGAGGTTATATTTTTTCAGTGAAATCGTTGGTGGTTAACCTTTCATTTCCGCTTATCAAAAATTCAAATTTTATATTTGAAAGTGCTCTTTGTGGGTAAAGTCACAGAGGTTTTAAGGGAAGACATTGTTTTTGGTGCTCTCTCCTCCCCTATTCTTCCCTCCTCGCTTCCCACAGTCCTACTATCGTTCTGTATTTGATAAAACCTATATTAAAGGGTTATTAATCAGCTAATTCCATATTTGCCCAGTTATTAGGTCAGTGTCTGTCATATTGGCCCAAGACCGCAGGCCGAGGGTCAATATGACAGACGGATGCCTTATATCTTGGCCAACGTTGAATTAGCTGATGAATGATAATATGGCATACGTTCGATTGGCGCGTTATCGATACTGGCCTAGTTTATCCCATATTGGCCCAGTTTGCTATGATATTGATAGGGCAGTTTTCTGATATTATTGTCAATATGCAAGTAGTTAATTGATAATAATCGGTATTTGACCTTGTAGGAGTCGAGACTGATACCGTCGGTGCAAAGGACTTGCCACTATTGCTCGACCAGCCAGGACGGAGTGACGGGGGTTTGGACCCAGAAGATTGACCAAAACCTCGAATTGCGCGCTCTGAAACAAGATGGCGTCGTACGACACGCACGGCCTCTTATGCTGTTGTTTGGATGGATGCTTGCCAAGCGGAAACATATGCAGAAATACGAGGAATACTATCTTAAAAGGGGCTACAACGTGCTGACTGTCACTGTAAGTAGGTCAAGGTCGTTAGTTATCAAGAAACTTATTTTTTGATTTCATTTAATAACAATAAACTTTCCATAGTAAAAGCTATTACAAATACAAATCAGTCCGTTTTAAGATCATCACTTAATATATACTTGTAACTTAATTTTAAAGACAAGTCCGAATGTGTTGGATGATACTTTGACTGCGCTGTTATCAGTGTGGTGTAATGAAACACAAGAGTCAATGGGGCGGAATAATGCTAGGCTTCCTCCAAGTATTGTTTAAACATCAATTCCCCAGTATCACTGGTCCCCCGTTAGAACAGCGGAATCATTTCCAAACACTCTACACTTCCCGAATAGATCATTTATTCTGTTCTGGTTTTAGCTTATATTCCGTGCTTTGTTTGTTTGTGTTTAACGGCCGGCCCATCGACAACTGTGGTCATTTAGGGCCATGGTTATTTATTTATTTATTTTATTCAACAAACATGAGAGAAGCAAAGATAAAATTTGATAAAAGTGTATATTTTAAAAGCATTCGCATTGCATGTGTTAATAAAAATATAATTAATAGATTATATTGAATATGTGATATATGCATAACGTCAAAGAGGGTAAGGTGGGTTAACAAGACAGCAGAGTCTATAGAATAGGCCAATGTGTTTCAAATATTGAATAATGCCTTCGAGTCCACGGAACTGAAAAGAGTTTTAATATCCGGGACTCGAAAGTAATTATCATGAATGTGTTTAAAGTCTGAACAATCTATTCAAAAAATGTTCCACTGTAAATGGAGTGTCACATGCGGGGCATGTAGGTGGATCTTCTCGCTTTAAGAGGTACGGATGAGTGGGATAAGTGTGCCCGGTGCGGAGCCGAGAAATGCCGTGCACTAGACTTGTTAGCTTCATATTTGATAAACTTGTCAGAATGCTTAGTTTTGAAACTTCTTCTAATCTTCTCAGTTCGCATTGCATTTTAAATGTTATGGAGATATGTTGAATTAATTCCGAAATGAAGGCACTGTAGCTTCTCCACCTGACAATAAACGTGCATTAACGAACTTCGTTTTTTTTATGTGTCTTTCTTTTTCTCAAAAGATACCAAAAGTCTTGTCATAATAACTTTTGTTTCCTTCAACAAACTCGTAAAGTAAAAAAAGGACTCAAGCATCCTTAACCAGTACACAAGGAGTAGGATTTTTTGTAATCTCAATTAAAAACTTTTGAACTTGCACTGTCAGCTTTAACTATACTTCCCATATTTTGCCCCACCTTTTGCCCTCGGAAAGGACAACTTTCATTTAAGTACAATTGGTATAGTAATGGTTCACACCAAATTTGGTAAAATCGATTCAGCCTTTCGGGACAAGAAGTCATAAATTTGCAAAATTGACCGATGGACGAGAGACGCTGCACGTAGATCATGGCTGTCCCTGCAGGTAGGGCGTAAGAATTGAACCTGCTTCCCCCATTGCATGATCGTAAGAGGCGACTAAATTTGGGATCTTATCTTTCCTCTTCTTTCTAAACAACTGTCTTCTCCCTAATGTCTCCCTTGATAATACCTCACTTTTGGCCTTTAGTTGAGCGTTCGCCCCTGTGAGGAAGGCTTTGGGTTCTGTCCCCTGGTCGAGACATACCAGAGTCTGTAAAAATGGTAGTTTCTACTCCAGCTTAACACTCAACAATTTAAAAGTGGGACGACTGGTGCGCCCGTTGTCAGTATAATGTGACCGGGTGGAGTGTCCTGCTGGATGTCTTCGGCAGTATGTTTCAGTGAGGTAGCACTATAAAGTCGGCATCAGTTCCTCGCTATCACAAGGAGCCAAACACGAACATATCGCAGCCTCCCAAAACACTCACGCATACACTACACGCATGCATCTTGCACACAGGGGAGGCCGTCCTTAAATGACCATAGCTGTCGATAGGACGTTAAAAAATACTAAACCAAACCAAACGTAGATACACTAAGCTCTACAGATAAAGAAGTATGTATAATCATATTGTGACTTGGCGAGACGAGCGGAAGAGAGGAAGTTGTCCACCTTTCTCCATTTGAAAATAAATACACATTTAAAATAAGACTAAACGAATGCACAATAACAGCGTAGCTAAGGCCAGACGTCCATGTGTATGTTTTCGCACTAGCAAACGACGAGACAGGTTTTGTAGGATATCAGTAATTATGTTGACATTACCTATACGCCTTATTATCGATTATACTTAAAGCAAGAATGTATGTCAGTTAGGGAAAGAAACGATGACAGTTGCTTATATCTAAATATCAATAAATGTGGATACTTATTTTTGACGTATTATCGTAGGCGTTAGCTTCTCTTCACGAACTTGCACAAAACCGGATGTTTGTCACGAAGCCACAAAATATACAGCAGGTTGTCAGAGACATTTGACGGATAAACTACTCCATGCACAACATAGTGCAAACGGGCTATCAAACAAGATTATATTGATAAAATGTCAGAATCACGTAAAATGAAGCTCTTCATTTCAGGGTTATCCAATGGACATTCTGAAGCCAGCAAGGGCTCAGGGAATAGCCAGCAAGATTCTCAGTCACATAGACGAACGGTCACGTGAGGTTGGCAAACAACCAATTCTTCTGCACGGATTCTCAGTTGGCGGGTATTTGATTGGGGAATTTCATGTGAAATTGAATACCGAGGACACCATTGCACGTGATTTACTGATAGCGCAGGTGTTTGACAGCCCGGTCGACTTCGACGGTATTCCCGAAGGATTTTCAAAAGTCTTGACGAAAAATCCAGCCCTCCGGTTTCTAATTAGGAATTCACTACACCTGTATATGGCAGTTTTTAGAACAAATGTTTCAAAATATCTGAAAGCCTCTGAAGCTTTCAAAGTTAACAAGTACAACGTGCCTTCGTTGTTTCTATATTCCAAAGCAGATCCGGTCGGAAATCCGGTTACAATAGAAAGTGTGATAACAGACTTCTACCAGCGCCAGATCCCGGTACGGAGTAAGTGCTGGCACGACTCTCCTCACGTGAGCCACTTTCACTATTACCCAAAAGAGTATGTGGAAATTCTTACGTCATTTCTCGATACGCATGCACCAAGTCCTGCTGATTTCAAAGGTCATGATAGCCAAGATGAAGGTGAAGGTCGGCGTAAGATGATGATATGAGGAGACCCTGTGTATACATGCGTTGTACGTTAAGCCATTACTATGTATGATGATTTTCTAGTGTTTGTTTGGGTTGGGTGACATTTAGATTATAATTTGATAGTATTTCATTTGCTTGTTATATGTTATTGCAATACTTTTGTTAGTATTAGATAATAGCATAGGTAGATTTTGCAGCATTTATGTCAGTTGTATGTACCATCAGAAATGTCATGTACCTCATATTCTAATATGCCAGATCAAAATTGAATGTAATATTGTGGTTCTTTTTGTCTTATTAATTCCCCATATGTTTGAATTATATTTTATTCTTCTGACTTTTTCACTTATGAGCCCAAAATGAACGCAAGAGAAGTAAAATGTTCACTTTGTTTGGCATTCTGCATCAAGAACTTTAGTTTTTCCAGTAGGCACTTCAATAGTATTTTGAGTAATTATTCTAACCCTTCCTTAAGAGAACTTTTATTTATATTGATCGTTATCGTATACTTATCTTGACTTTCAGGCTTAGTTTTTATCGAAGTTTTGGTTCCGTTTTGTGATATTTATCTAGATAACACTAAATTACCCAGTCCAACGGATAAAGTCCATATTCTGACGATAGATTTAAAATAGATCCAAGAATCGTTTTACAGAATGTTTAGTTGATATTATACAGCCCTGTTAAAGAAATCATCCTATCATGTAAGTATGTGTGTGTCAGAGAAGTTATTCGATGAATGATATATATATTGTTAATTCATAAAAATAAAAATAAACTATTTTCTGTAATATAAATATATTAAACATGCTTTCTGAAATACCTTTTCGTTATGTTCTTGACTCGATTGTGTTGCGGCAATGGCCACAATCCTGGCACCAAAACTAGTCCGCACACTGACAAAACAGGCCACGCCCTGACACCAAACGTAGTCAACACCCTGTAACAAAACAGACCACGCCCTGACACCAAACGTAGTCCACACCCTGTAAAATAGACCTCGCTCTGACACCAAACATTGTCTACACCCTACGAAAAACAGACCACGCCCTGATACCAAACGTATTCTGCACCCTGTAACAAAACAGGCCACGCCCTGACACCAAACGTAGATTGCACGCTGTGACAAAACAGACAAAGTCTGACACCAAACGTAGTCCACACCCTATAAAATAGACCTCGCTCTGACACCAAACATTGTCTACACCCTACGAAAAACAGACCACGCCCTGATACCTAACGTATTCTGCACCCTGTAACAAAACAGGCCACGCCCTGACACCAAACGTAGATTGCACGCTGTGACAAAACAGACAAAGTCTGACACCAAACGTAGTCCACACCCTGTAACTAAACGGACCAAGCCCTGACACCAAGCGTAGTCCACGCCCTGTGATTTAACAGACCAAGCTCTGACACCAAATTTAGTCTACACCCTGTAACAAAACAGACCAAGCCTGACACCAAACGTAGTCCACGCCCTGTGATTTAACAGACCAAGCTCTGGCACCAAATTTAGTCCACACCCGATGACAAAACAGACCAAGCCTGACACCAAACGTAGTCCACACGCTGTGACAAAACAGACCACGTCCTGCCACGAAACACTTTCTTGGCTACGTCTAGATACGTTTTCATCTAGACAACATAACAAACAAACTCTGACAACAAAAGTGATGCAGGGGAGGTAATTCCAGTAGGAAGGAACACGGGTTAATCTGTGTTGTAGATTAGTCTTTCACCTGGGTATCATTTACTGGTCTATTAATCTGGTTAATCAGCTTTTCAAAATGGGAAAGCGACCGAACATTTATAATAGTTCGACCTAATTTGTTTTACAATATAATACTGCACATGACACCAAACGTAGACCACACGCTGACAACAAAAGTAACGACATACATACAGCCTGTTTTACTTCTCTCTAGTTTCTTCTTCTTTTCATGTACGTTTTCCATGTTGATATTAATCAATTAATATAACGATGGCAAACGTTCGACAGAACCTTCTACCTGTCAACCAATAGAATGAAGCTAACTCCCCCTGGTGATGGCCATACATGTGTGATGTCGCCGTTACGTGTTGCACCAGATCGCTAGTATTATGTAGTTTGGAAAACTGACGATCACTGACATCACCTGTATCGACTAGATGGAGATAATGCCACTCGTAACAAGGATCCAGGCTGTGATAGTTGATAGTCTTAGACCACACGCCAATCTGTGTTTTATAAGGCGTCAATGGATTTTAGAATAGTAAATTCTGTTGACAAATAAACTACTTAGCCAAGGTTTTCTACCAGAAAGGATTCATTCCACTCTTAAGTAATGTTATGATTGTTATCATTTCTTGATTTCCAATTATAGGACATTGTTTAAGATAAGTCCGACGTTCACTGGTTAAACAAATGCTGGTTTTACATGATACATATAACACGTGCTATCCCTGATCGAGGCAATCCTTACACAAAGGTAATATCTACATATATACCCTAGAATAGTAAGAACAAAATCAGAACAGGTGTTCTGGAAACGTAAACATCTTCTGCTTCATCAATGGCCATGTAAATTTAGGCCAAATCCAGGTGATATCATGTCCTCAGAGTGAGGACAGAGTGAGGACAGACAGAGTAAGGACAGAGTGAGGACAGAGTAAGGACAGAGTAAGGACAGAGTGAGGACAGACAGAGTGAGGACAGAGTGAGGACAGAGTAAGGACAGAGTGAGGACAGACAAAGTAAGGACAGAGTGAGGACAGAGTAAGGACAGAGTGAGGACAGAGTGAGGACAGACAGAGTAAGGACAGAGTAAGGACAGAGTAAGGACAGAGTGAGGACAGACAGAGTAAGGACAGAGTGAGGACAGAGTAGTGAAAATGAAATAGCAAGACACACGTACGAGCCTAAGCAAAACTCAACGACCGTATCACACAATGAACGACCGTTATATCACACAATGAACGACCGTTATATCACACAGTGAACGACCGTTATATCACACAATGAAAAGTGTATTTTCCAATGAGATCATGATGGCGACCATAAAGTGATGTCTAAAGGGAGGTTATCCACGTTGTTTTCCGAGAAAGCCCAAAGATCCTTTCAACAGATAACGTTTTGAAAAATGACTGACAAGTGTGACTCATTTTAGCAGACCTAGATGATAGAAAATAAGAAAATTAAATACGATGCCTGTCTTAAACACACCTCAACACAAAATGCAAAAACCCGTTCTGGCATCAATTTTAGTTCGATGCATTTCAACAATTACCTTAGTCGGTCTGTCGTGACACAGTCGGTGTTGCGACGTTGCGTAATGGATTAAAAGTAGCCCGAAGAAGTACAGGTCAGGAAGTTAATATTCAATCTAAAGGGAATGCTGGATTACATAGATATGGTCTTAAGTCGCAACTCACCAGCTATGCACGTACTAATCAGGGGCGTTTCTATTGAAAAAAAAATTGGACCTTTTTTTTGCTAAAAAACATAAAATAATTGTGAAATGCACCAGGGACAGTATATAGACTATACGTCCCTGAATGCACTAATGTAACGGTTCCTGACCTTTTTTTTTGAAAAGGGGGGGGGGGGGGG